GCTGATACATAGGATGGGTGGAGCCCTCCTAGTAAAGCAGGAGAAAGACATTTGCTCCTCTTCTCTCATCCTATTAAGATATGCAGATGTTCTTGCTAGCTCTTCTTGTTCTGCCTCTCAGTCACTTGCTTGTCCCATTTTAATTCTTGCTCATTTGATTTTCTTGCTTGCTTACCTGCCCTCACTCACTTCTGCTCTCTCATTGTCTGTTTTGCTCTGTCTAAAACAGAAGGTGGGTGGTTGACAGAAGCTAGTGGGTAGACCTCCCTCTTTAGCCAATGCTGCTCTACTGCATGAGCTAAGTCTTAGTTGGGCCATTTTTTTTTAATTCATTGGACCATTAGACCTGTCTACCTGAGTCTGTGGGTCACTCATTACATGAGCAGATGTGTCTGATCGCTCCTGCCATCCAAGCTCTCAGGAACTAGAGGGAGGAAGCACACCTGTGCCTGCTGAAAGCAGCCAATAAAAGCTGGCTGCATCCCAGTCACTGCTGCATCATCACCATGGTTGTGCATGTAACTAAGCTTGGTGTCAAAAGACTGAAAACACCACTTCAGCATTAGAGCAGATCATCATGAAGCTAGGAGGCCCCAGGAAGCTTGTACTGTATCATGAGAACATGACGTTCAGGAAAGGTTAGTGAGGCATCTTCAAGCTGATCACAGGCAGCCATGTCTATACCTTACTTTTCAAGTCTTCAGATTATACTTGTCACCCTCCTTACATTTATTCCAAGTGGTCTCAGTATGAAAAGCATGGTGTATTGAACTCAACCCTGTACTCAGTGAGGTGGCCCCACGGGGAGAATAAGGTAAGAGGACCATCAGTTCCTCGTTTTTGACATACAGCTTTAATCCCTGTATGCTGTCTTCTGATGTTTATTTTGTCATCTCAGGAGTGCCAAATGAATAAGTGGCTTAGAGAGATTTATGCTCAAACCTTAGTATTGTGAAGTCATTGTGAACGTTCTTCTTAATATTGGTGGAAGTTGTACTTGATTTGGGAGTGGTATGGAAATACCACTCCCGAATGTAGAAAAATGTACTCTTCTCAAGATCTAGATCTCAGCTGTCATGCCTATAATGTCTGAATTCACATATCACACAAAGCCATATGTTGTTTTAAGCATGGTTTCCTGAATAAGCTAGGTAGGGTTGGGTTTACTGATGCTAAAACATAAATCATGCTTTACAAATCACCATGGCTGGGCTCATGCAATATGCTGCTCTAGAGTGAAGCAGAAATATTATAGCATAACCAAACCACTGACAGTAAGTGTGTGTTCTGAATAGTTATAGCTGAATGACTAATGAAAGCTTCTGTTACTATATCTACTTACAATCCATGAGACCACTTGTGTTGAACATTACAGGACTTAAGCCATACCAGTTGGAATATTGATGTGTTATGAATGAGAGCAAATGGTTACCCTCAGGCAATATTTTAACATGATTACCTTTTTTTTTTTTTTTAGAGAATTTCTCTCTGAGGAACACAACATGGAATTAGTACTGATTAAAGCTTTTCTAGAAATAGACAAAGCGTACATGAGACATGCCCACTTGTCCGCAGATGGTAAGTACTGAATGTGTTTCTGTTCACTGGTAACAGAGAAATGAAATTTACTCATCTAGCAGCCAGTGGTACTGAAACTTGAGGCTAGCTGTCCCAGGGGAAAATTGCAATTTGAATATGCAAGGATTTGCTAAATCAATATCTTGGATAAATCAGGAATAAGTTTGAGTCTGTGGACTGCAAACAATTTTGAGAGAAAAAAATGACATTTCAAAATTAAGTGGTACCATGCCTTAAGACCAAATTTTCTCGAAGTTGATTCCATTTGGAAGTCACCACTGAGAAGATCCTGCACTTAATTTAAGCTAAATTAATAGCTGTAATCTAGAAGGCTTTTCTGTAAATGGAATGTTTTATGTAAGAGCAAAAATTTATCAGTTGTCACTCAGTGAACAAATCTGTTGGGTATGTTAACAGTTGGTCAACATCAATAGTCATGAGTCAACCTCCATGTAATGCTGAGCAACTTTATGACACTGTATACATCAGTTCTAAACACATAAAGATTAAGTTATACTGCTAGGCATACTATATTTGGAACTAAGCACCTTTTTTCAGTGAGGTTTCCTTCAGGCTGCAGAAAAGGTTTGGGCTACAGTTAATCTGAGTTGCCAGTTCAGTACTAAAGGCTTTTGAATTCTGTGGCAGTCACTGGAAACAAAACAGGCATGGCTCAGAGTCTGCAATGTTATGGAAAATAGTCTTGTAATATAGCTTGTGGCTATGAAGAACATGCACTGTTATTATCTCTTAAGCAATTTAAGTATGGGGAAAACCCCATTAATGTAGCAGCTAAAACACATGGCAGTCATCCTAAGAATGAGATACGTGTTTTGAATGCATAAAATTCTAAGTGCCCCCATTGTCTGAAATCTTGAAAAGCTACTGCCAGTCAATGCAGAAACAACTGCCTGGCCCTATGGACAGATGGTATCAGACAAATGTGGGAAGGAAAGGATCTGGCTCTGGAATGTTCTGGTTTCCCATGAAACAGACTAATCCAAGTATTTAGGCTGGTTCGTGCTTTCATAGAAGAGTATTGGCCAAAAGTGGTTTGTGGGGTTCTGAGAGTGTTTTAGGTCTACTTAGATCAGCCCAGTCAAGGGGGATGACAGAAATTTTCAGTGTCTGACCAATTGTTTTTCACACTGGTATAATAAGTTATGCCTGCAGTTACCAGTATCCTGCTTTCTTATGCAACATGACATGCTGTTCTAGGCTGGCTCCATAATTACCCAAAGCAGGTTAGCTCTTAGATAGCTGGTTTCTACAACTGTGTAAATTTATGATATTTCTTGATGTAAATATATACTGTTGGTGCAGGAACAGTTTTTGTGACATAACTGCCACCCTAGATGGTACACACATTTAAGGACCTTAAAGCAACTTCATTGAAAAAATAAAAGCAGTGTGTATCCCACCTCTGAAACTTGGACACAGTTCCATCTTCAGATGTATGTGTCAGAGATGATGGACGTAATACTAAGGGAGTCTTTCCAACTTTGCTTGGGCTATTAAATAAAATGGGGAAATGGGGGAGGGGGGAAGTGTTAAGATCACTAGGAAAGCTGAAAACATCTAATGGGCAGAAACAATCCTTCATTGATATGTTTGACATATTTACCCTTTCGGGTAGAAAACCCCCCTCAGCCCACATGGATCCTTTATACCAGCTGTCTCTGATCTGGTAGGGCTCTAAATGTGTTGGCCTACAACTCATGTAATTCACAAGTGTACATCCATGTGAAGTGTGAATTATGGGAGTTGGAGTCCAACCTAACTGGAGTACCATCAGTTTGGGGAGGCTGACTTATGTTATAGCAAGCTTGAAAAAAAAAAGAGTTCCTGAAGAAACTTAATTACCCACCCATTTTCAGTATTCCTGATTTATTACGGGGAATTAAATGTGCTCTTTCCAAGAATGATGTTTATCGTGTTAACTTAAATGGTGAAAGTATAATAGATGAAAATGTTTCCTAGTTGAAGAAGGTGTCAGTCAAAGCCATGGTTTTTAAGTTTTAAAATGTTAACCTGCAACACTGAAGAAGTAAGAGAGCTGCAGAAACGTATATTTGTATTATCATTTGGTATATTTTATAAAAACCAAACTTTGGTTCCTTTCTAATTCTTTTTAGCGAGATTGCAGTTAAATTTGGACTGAATTGTATTTGAAAGAATGTCAGGTTGTCCTTTAACTTTTCGTTCCATTGGAGTACGGTCATTACTGTGCTCTTAAAGATGCCTTTCTTTTTATAGTGATGCTTGGCACATGACTAAAGGACTCTAGCCTGCCAAAAGTTACAAGACGCACAGAAATCAGCAATTTGTGTTTGAACACAGGTGTAATGCTTAACACACGTACAACAGCACATTTATGACCTATTTGGTGATTTCTTATCCCAGTGTTTTGAAACATTCTCAGAGCAATACCTCTGATGAAGAAATGCCTATGTGGAATCTTGCATTCTTTCTTAAGGTACATAAAACTGCACGTGTGTTCAAAATAAAAAAAAAAAAAAAATTTTTTTTTTTTTTT